GGGGCCCCTCTCTCAACACTTTCTCTGATACAGCAATTACATCATCAAAGAACATGAACAGGCCCTTCAGCCCACCATGACTATGCCAACCATATTGCTACTCTAAACAAGTCCGACCTGCCTGCACACAAACCATATCCCTCTATTCCCTGGCTGTTCTCACGTGCCTGTTTAAATGCCTCTTAAACATTATTATCACATCTGTTTCTACCACCTCCCCTGGGGGTGTTGCTTCCTGCTCTTGGCTGGATTTGCAAAAATTAATCAATTTTACTTTCACGTTCTGTCCCTCACTTGGTCCATCTCTGAATCTTCCATTCTCTGATCTGCGCTTCTATTTCTGGGTATAGGCTACCCACCAATATGCCTTGATTATATTTCTTTATATACTCCTACCTTCCCATTTCTCCCAGTTTACCTGCTGTAACTGTTGTGACGATGCCACATTCCACAGGGTGCTTCTGATACGTCTACCTTTTTCCTCAACTGAAGTTTTCTTGCCTGCCTCCCTCTCATAATTAACCCATCACCTGAATTTCTGTCCTCAATCTTTCCCTTCCCAGAACAGTGAGGTTCCCTTGAACTCACTTTTGATCCCCCAGCCTCAGCATTCAAAGGATCATCCTCTGCCATCTTCAGCAGGATACCACCAGCAAGCACATCTTGCCCTCCACTCCCTTGCCAGCACTGTGCAGGAACTGATCCTCTGATATCCTAGTCTGCTCCATTATTCCTCCTAACACCTTATAACAACCCCATGCAGCTTTGCTACATAATTGCTGAAGGTGCAACACCTGCTCATTCACCTCCACCTTCCTGAACGTCCAATGCCCCAAACACATCTTATAGGTAAAGCAGTGTTTTACTTTTACTTCTTCCATTCCGGTTGACTGAATTTACTGTTCAGCTTCGTAGTCTTCCCTACAAGAGGGAGACCAAATGCAGACTAGGTAACTGCTTTGCAGAACACTCTTGCTCTGTAAGAATGCCCCAGCATTCTAGTCACATGCCATTTCAATAAACCATCTTGCTCCATGCTAACGTTTTCGTCCAAGGCCTGCTGCAGTGTTCCCGCAAATTCCAACACAGGATGGAGGAACCACACCTTGTTTTCTGCTTCGGCACACTGCAGCCTTTAGATTAACTGAGTTCAACAACTTCAGATCAGGAAGGCTGTCATCTATTGGATTATATGCCCTTTTGATTGCAGAGTTTTGCTCTCAACAGAACCAACCTATTTTCTTCTATCGACATCTGTTCTTTACCTTCTTCACTTGCCCTTTTGCTCTGGACACCCTCACCATCTTTTCCACTTGCTGCTCCCTTCCTTATTCTACTGCATAAAAACTATCTTTCCAGACCCCTTCAGATCCAGTGAAGAGTCATACTGTTCAAAACATTCTGTTTCCCTTCCACAGAAGCTCCAAATTAGAGTTTCTCCAGCACTCTTTCTCTTCAGATTTCCAGCATCTGAAGCACTGTTCTTTTATTAATGATCTTCCATTTCAAATGAAAGATTACACTTTGAAATGTGAACGCTTCTTCTAAGTAACTCGTTTATTGTACAAACCAGACTGACTTCTCCCTTTCCACCTGTACCTCTTCCCTATCCACCAAGAAAACTCAATCTAAAATCTGGAATTCTATCAACTCGCAACTGTGAGCACTTGGAGACATCAGGGTGGGGCCTGCAATATCAACAGCCTTCTGCACCCCTCTGTGTTCACTAAGCACTCAGCGGCTGCTCTGTCGGACACTGCATCTGTTACTTATCCAGATCCTGGCAACAGAAGACCATGTGGAGAGAGACAGGCTGGAAGCCATGCCACCAGTCTGCAAAGACGCATTGGGTCTGATAAACTGAGGATTATGTTACTGGGCTCAGATGCGAGTTTCAACCTAACTGCCATATTTCGTAAAATTGATTTCAGTAACCAGCTAGATCGGAAATAAAAGGTTGCATGAATAACGGCAACCAGCTAGATTATCATAAAAACTCAATAGGTCACAGGTAGATAGGGTGGTAAAGAAGGCGTTTGGCTGCATTGCTCACACCACTGAGTACAAGAGTTGGGACATTTTGTGCAGTTGGACAGAACATTGGTGAGGCTACTTTTGAAATACGGTGTATAGTTCTGGTCACCCTGCGAGAGGAAGGATATTATTAAATTTGAGAGGGTGCAGAAAAGATTTACAAGGATGTTACCAGGACTGGCAGGTTTGAGTTATGAGGAGATGCTGGAAAGGCTGGGACTTTTTCACTGGAGTGTAGGAGGTTGAGGGTTGACCTTTTACAGGTTTATAAAATCATGAGAAGCATAGATAAGTGAATAACAAAGACACTTTTCCTAAGCTAAGGGAGCTCAAAACTAGACAATGCAATTTTAAGGTCAGAGGAGAAAGTTTTAAGAGTGATCTAAGGGGCAACTTTTTCACACACAGTATGGTTCGTATGTAGAATAAACTGTCAGAGGAATTGGTAGATGCAGGTACAGTTAGAACATTTAAAAGACATTTAGGCAGGTACATGAATAAGAAAGGTTTAGAGGGATATGGGCCAAACACAGGCAAATGGGAATAGTTTAGCTTGGGGAAGTTTAGTCCGGTATCTGTTATTCATAAAATCTGGAACTGGTTATTTTTTAAAATCTGGTTAGGAACCTTGGGGTCAATTTTGAGAGTCGAGTATTTTAATTTGCTAGAACAGGGAGAAGGAGGCTGATTTGATTTGGTTGTCTGTCTCTGTGTTGTAACATCACCATTGCCCCTCAATGATAGTGCAGCCCAACAGCTCCACACCAATGAAATCATTTACAGCCATGTGTCAAGGAGCCAATCAACTCTGTCCTCTCAAAGTTCAGAAGTACGTAAGGAATTTGAAATAGGAGCACACAATTCTGCTCTCTGAGTCTACTCTACTATTCAATAATTAAATGGTTTGCCTTTCACCTCAAAATGACCTTCCCATACAATCTCTACATCCTTTGATCTACTAAGTACCCAGGAATCTATTCAATCCATAGCTCTGAGGTGGAGAATTCCAAAGTCTCACAATCCTCAAGTCAAAGAATTTTACTTGAGTTTGATACGGTGTGTTCTAGATTCACTGCCAAAAGAACCAACCTCTCAACGTCTACCCTAACAAGTACCAGAGAAGCTGATACACCTCATTGAGATCACCTCATTCTTCTCAACTCCAGGTCAGTCTACTCAACCTCCCTCCATTGTATAAGCTAGTGCATACTCCCTTCAGCAAGGAGACCAAAGCTCCAAAACAGATGTGGTCTTGGGTGTGAACTGACAGACGAGTGGCTGATGGAGTTTAATACTAGAGAAATGCAAGGTGATAACTTTTGGAAGGAAGATTAGGCAGGCAATATAGACTTATTGGCTTAGTTCGAAAATCTGTTGTGGGGGGCAGAGGGATAGGAGAGTGCACGATGATATTTGGGATTACTTGAAAATGACAAGATATGTTGAGACTGTGGACAGCAAAAACATATGTGATCTTCAGCTTCATTACAGTGCTGACTGCAAAAGCAGGGAAGCTACGCTGAACTAGCGAATCATGTCAATTTCTAGTCTGCATAAATTAGGAAGGATGCAAAGGTCCCCAAGAGTGTGCAGAGGAGATTTACCAGAATGGTTGAATGGATGAGGGATTTTAGCTACAAGATCAGGTTGAAGAAACTGGAGCTGTTTTCCTTAGAGTAAAGGAGATTGAGGGGACATTTGACAGAAGTGTAAAGGATTGCAGTCTGCTTGCATAAACTAGACAAAGAAAACTCATCCACATTAGCTAATGGGGTGAGTTCTAGGGGGACACAGATGTAAGATTTTGGCATGGGATGGCATAGGGGAGTTTTCTGCCTGAGAGAGTTGGGAAGACATAGATAAAACATCATTTACAATTGAAATTGCATGGGTACTTGTAGGAAATAAACTCACTGGGCCATACGGATAGTCGAGAAAATAGGAGTGACTGGATTGCACAGAGGGGATTCGATGGGACGAAGATCTTCTTCTGTGCTCTCATTACAGCTAACCTTCTCACTGAACTTTGCATCACCAATTAACCTGGATACATCATACTTGAATGGTTTACATAAGCTACCAACATTGATAATTATGAGCCTGGGATCTCATCCTGATCTTTGAAGAGCTTAAAAAATGTCCAATTCATCCATGCTCTCAGTTTCTGGTGCATGAATTAATCCAGTGTTAATATATTGCATAAGAGAGGGGCTGAATGATCGATTATAGGTCATTTTATTGGGGAGGCATTGGTCCAGTAGTATTATTGCTAAACTATTAATGCAGAGACCCAGGTCATACACTGGAGACCTGGGTTCAAATCCCATCACTGCAGATGAAGTTGAATTAAATAATCTTACAGTACAGAAGGTGGTCATTCGGCCCATCATATCTGTACCGGGGGTGGGTTGTGGTGGAGCGGGTTGGGTAACGGGGGGAGGTGGGGTAGAGAGCAGATTAGGCAGAGAAGCAGGGCAGGGGTCAGAACAGAGCAGGCGGCAGAGCAAGACTGAAATCAAGTCCTACCAGTCAGCTCTCTGTCTCCTGAATAGCTTGGTTAAAGGTGTTCAGAAGGTCAAAGCTTACACACAGACAGTGACCTCTGTCCATCACACACTAGAGTCAGCACAGAGACCCTTTTCAGCAACATACCCACCAAAACATTTACTCAGGTTTGTCTGTTTGTCAATGAAAACCTTGGCAGAAACGACATTCCCGAAAGGCATAAACATCTGGAGTAGATCTTGATCACCAAACTCCTGGGGCAGATGGTAAATAAATAGATTACCTCCCTCTGGTCCTGAAAAAGAGAGGAAGCAAGAGTGGACAGGGGTTTTTTTTTTGGGGGGGAGGTGCGGGAGAAGAAGATGGTTTAAGGCAGGGAGATGAAGAAGCAGAGAATGGGGGGAGGGGCAATCATGACGAAACGGGAGGGGCCGTGGAGACAGAGGTCGGGAGGGGGGGGCCGTGGAGACAGAGGTCGGGAGGGGAGGGTCGCGGAGAGAGGGAGGGAGGGAGACAGGGAGAGAGGGAGGGAGGCAGGGGAGAGTCGTGGAGAGAGGGGCAGAGAGAGGGAAAGAGGGGAGAGTCGCGGAGAGAGGGAGGGAGGGAGAGAGGGACAGAGAGAGGGAGAGAGGGAGGGGAGGGAGGGAGAGAGGGGAGGGTCGCGGAGGGAGGGAGGGAGGGAGGGAGGGGAGGGAGAGAGGGGAGGGTCACGGAGAGAGGGAGAGGGGCAGACAGAGACAGAAAGAGAGAGAGAGGGAGGGGGGGCAGAGACAGAAAGAGAGAGGGGGGCAGAGAGAGAAAGAGAGAGGGGAGAGAGAGAGAGAGTGGGGGGGCACAGAGAGACAGTGGGGGGGG